AATGGGGGTCCAAACAGGGACTGAACCAATAGCACAGCGGAGCGGGTGTTTGCCTCACATGTAGCCAGCCCAGGTTCAATCCCCAGCATCCCATAGGGTCCCCCAAGCACTACCAGGAGTAATGCCTGAGTGCAGAGCCAGGAGGAAAGCCTGAGCATCGCCAAATGTGATGCAAAAAAAGAAACCAAAACTCCAAATGCTCTGGAGAATGGCAGGGCAGGAGGTACTCCACAGTCCTCTGTGGCTGATAAACAGGGGTTCCGGGCCTGGTAATAAGCCAACACTGCCATTCTGCCTGTGTTTGAAGGGACACCGGGGACAGAGAAGGAGGGACAGAGAAGGACATTCTCTTCTCTGGATGACCACCTGCTTTAAGAACACAGGCACCACAGAGCCCCTGCAGCACCCAGTGCCCCGACGGCATCCAGGTCGGCTTTAGCCCTTTCTGGACTGAGACCCTGGCTTGGACAGATAAAAAGGGGTCCCTGAGTCCAGTCTGAGATACACAGTCACAGAAAACAGCTTCTGAGACATGTGTGGCCGTCATGCCAGCAGGTTGGCATCCTGGCTCCCTCTGCACAAGCCTAAGAACAGGTCCTCCCTGCAGCCCCACGAGCCCGATGCTCAACACCCCAGCCCGATTCTGTGTCCACCTGAGACTCTGAAGCACTCCCTCTCACTCCTTTCTGTCCACCTACTCAGCGTGACCACTTCCTGTGGCTCTCAATTAGTGTCTAACACAAACTGGAAGCTGGAAGTGGCCACTCTGCTTGTTTTGGTCCACCCCGGGTTTAATCTCCATCCCATCATCCGCACCAGGGCGGAAACCAGAGGTGGCTGTGTTTCTACATGTGGAACTGATTTTCACAAAGTCTGTGCAAGTGTCTTGTTTAGAAAGATTGGGGGGTGGGAGAATGGATGCTGGCTGGGGAAAGAAATGAGAAGAAAAAGCAAGAAAGAGGGAAAGAAGAAAATAAAAGTTCCTGCTCCTGGGGTCCCCATGATTCAGCTGCATTAACATAAGGGACAGGGGGAAAAAAGGGACCAGGGCAAAAGTACAGTGGGGATGGCACTTGCCTTGCACGTGGCTGACCAGGGCTTGATCCCCAGCACCCCAGAGGGTCCCTTGGAGGCCTGCCAGGAGTGATCCCAGCGCACAGAGCCAGGAGTCATCCTGGTCTCTAAACCAAAACAGAAAGACATTAACAAAAGCTCTCTTAATGTGAAAGTTTCCCAGGATTTCTGCCTCACACAGAGATGAACTAAGCATATGCTGTGGCAGGAACCTCCTGAAAATAAAAACCCACTAGACAGGAGCATCGGTTCATGCTGGCCTCCCCAGTGAACCTGACCCGGAAAAGGAGATACACAAGGGCAGGTTTTGTTCTGAGCCACACGAGGAACTGGATCTGCAGCTAGTGGGAGAGGCCAAGGGCCCACCCATGGAATCCAACAAAGACTGGGACAGGAAGCAGAACCCAGGGAACAAGCGCAGAACAGTGCTCTGGGCTGCCCGAGTCTGGATCCCATTAGACAAGTGTCTCTGGTCACTGTGACAAAAACAGGCTAAGCAAATGCTCAAACCACTGGGCCATCTCTCTGACCCTTGGAACCCTTCTTTGAGATTCCTGTGACAGGAAGAGAGAAGCAAAGATGTTTTTTCTTTAAGCAAGCAAGCAAGTTCAAGGGACCTGAGAGACAGTACAAGACTCTTGCCTGGCATGCAACCAAGCTGGGTTCCATCCCCAGCACCCCATAGGATCCCCTGAGCCCCACCTAAAATGATCTCTGAGTGTAGAGTCAGAAGTAAGTCCTGAGCACTGCTGGCTGTGGCCCCAAAATAAAATTGAAAATGAGTTTTTAAAAAAAAATCAAGTGATAAAAAAAAACAAATTCTGGGTGGGACGGGGGGGGGGGGGGAGGGATGGGGGGTGGGAGGGATGCTAGGACCCGTGGCGGGGGAGGATGGGCACTGGTGGAGGGATGGGTACTTGATCATTGTATAACTGAAACCCAAGCACAAAAATTTATAAGTCTATAAGTGTACTTCATGGTGTTTCACTAATAAAAAAAATGATAAAAAAAAAATTCTCCAGAATAACCAATTTGATTGATTCCTTAATGCGCTTATTAGCGATCACTGGCTTACCCCATTGGAATCAATACCAGTGGAAGTGTGCTGACAATGCCTATCCATCATCTCCTACAATGCAACCCTTCACTCCACCCCTCCCCACCACTCTTCCCCCGACAGGCAAAGCTCCCACAGGATGTGCCTGCTGGCTCCCAGCTGGGTCTCACCTCACTGCACCCAGGATGCCTTACTCCTATCCACCACTCCCCATCCAATCCACTTCCTCGCCATCTTTCAACTTGTCCAATCCCATGTTAGTCTGAACGCTGCCTCCTTTGGGGCACACACGGCGGCCCCCACGTGCTCATTTTCATCACAGAGCAGGGAGGGTACCCAGCTTCCAGGCTTGCCCAGATACCCCTGTACCCCACAGAGCTGCCTCCCCAAGGACGGTCAACTGAAGCCCAGCTCCCTTCCTAACTCTATAGAAATAAGTTATTGCCATTTCTTGTGATCACGTGTACAAGGTCTGAGTGAAACCAGGTCTTCACATACTAATGTTTAGCAAGACCTACTGAAATGTTACCAGCCAACAGGTAACTTGAACAAGATAAACTGAGATGGTTACATATTTAATCTAAGAACCCTACCCCATTTTCCTGGTCAGTTAATAAGTAACAAGGAGATAACACTGACTCCAGTCTTTGATCCTACCTGTCACCTCCTTTGTATTAAACTAGCTTCAAAGTTCACTCTGTTTGCATTTTGATTAGTGGAGATGTATTTTTTTGACTGTACCTACAGTAAAAAAATTAAATTGGTATAAAAAAGGTTAGCAGTCATTAAAAAAAAATAGGTATCAAAGAAATGTCCCAGGAGCAACAGGACAGCGGGGAAGGCATTTGCTTTGCATGTGACTGACCTCAGTTTGATCCCCGGCATTCCATATGGTCCCCCTGAGCCAGTCAGGAGTTATCCCTGAGTGCAGAACCAGGAGTAAGCCATGAGCATCATGAGATGTGGTCCAAAAACAAAACAAAAAATAAGAAATGTCATGGTCAGGGGGATCTTTACCTTCAAAAAATATATGCTGATTCGTGTACTATGTAAGAAACTTTTTTTTAAATAAAGTGTGATTTGAAAAATAATAAGATCACAACACCTATCAAATACCCAATGAAACCCCATATAGGGCAAAAGTAATAGGCTATAATGATCCAGAGACTCACAAATGAATCTCGAAATGGAGCAGCTCACCCAGAGGTGTTCTGGACCTTGCACCAGGTCGATTTCCCGGATACCTCAGACAGGAGCAGGCGTCGTCCTTCCACCTGCCCCATATGAATCCCGATGGCCACAAACTTCCAGAACCCAATGAAAAATCCAGGTATGGGGAACCCGTGACTGAAAATTCCAGGCCTCAAGGGATTGGAATAGGTCGATCCTTTCCACCTCCCTGCCCCTTTGGGATCCTGGCTCTCATGCCCATAAACTACCTCTGGGTGCTATTTAAGCACATTAACAGCCATGATCCAGCAACTCACAAATGAATCTTGGAATTGATCAGCTCACTGCAGAGATGTCTCCAGACTTCAATTACTTAAAATTTTAGAATTAGAGGAGCGCACAGCTATGCGACATCTCATCCTATTCATGACAAGCAATACAAAATAAATTATCTTGCATCTGCCTGTAGGGTAGGCTTGAGTGGTAGTGGGAAAATTTGGAATAATGGTGGTAGGAAGGTATAATGGTGGTGGGATTGGTGTTGAAATATTGAATGTGAAAAAATCAATTATTGTGAACTGTAGCATGTCCTCCTATTGTTCACCAATTTGCTCAAGCGGGCACCAGTAATGTCTCCATTGTGAGACTTGTTACTGTTTTTGTCATATCAAATACATCACGGTAGCTTGCCAGGCTCTGCCAGGCAGGTGGATACTCTCAGTTGCTTGCCGGGCTCTCTGAGAGGGATGGAGGAATCGAACCCAGGTCGGCCATGTGCAAGGCAAAAAGCCCTACCCGCTGTACTATGGCTCCAGTCCGTTATTGTGAACAACTTTATGAAAAATAAAACTTTAAAAATTAATAGAATATAATTTTAAAAGTAAAAACTGACAACCCCAATTGAATGACTGATTTTATACACAATTGAAACAATAACCTGCAGTGTAAAAAACAATCATACCTTTACCTCAACAGACCTACTTCAGGGCCATCAATGGAAGAATAGAAAGAAAGAAAGAAAGAAAGAAAGAAAGAAATCCTTCACATCTTTTTCATTCAAGACACAGTGAAATTAGTAAAAGTAATCCAATGTTTGGGCTTCCGTGCAGTTTATCCTAGAATGTAAGATTTGTCTCAGAACTATATTTAATTCCTTTATCTTGTGGGAATACTAAAGCATTTAAAAACCATTCAGATTGCTAAGAACCTGCTTTAATTTGAGTTTGCATTCGTCCAAGAGAAGGGAGGCAGATGAGGGCACAGAACCTCAGAACATATAACTGACAATCAAAGAAGAAAAAACACACACCCTTGAATGCCTCTTCTGAAGAATAAACAGCTGGAGATACTGTGGTATAGGAGGGACAGAGAAAGAAAAGCCATGAAAAGAGAGAGGAGAGAGCCAGGCACTTAGGTGAAAAGTCAGTATTCCACACTTAATCTCCTCACCAGGAGGGAAAAAAAAAAAAGAAAAACTCATGCAACTGGGCTTTCAAGTGTGCCCGACCGGGTTATTTCGAATCATTCTACAAGGCACAGAGGTGAACCCTGAGACACTCAGGCACACGGGGTGTGATCAATATGACCTTCCTTGAAATGCTGGTAAGTGGCACTCTCCCGCTGGGAGGCTAACCACAAGAAGGACGTGAACCCTGAAAAAAAACATAAAAGGAAAGAGAAGGGCCCAGTCCCGTCTCACCTCTGCTTCTTCGGGAGCTTTTTCACCCAGGGGAGACGGCTGAGCTGGACCGGTGGCCCCACAGCTGGGAGTACTCTTGTCCTGGGCCAAAGAGACAGAGGCATCCTCCGAATCTGTCTCCCCGGCCTGGAGGGCACCCCCTTCCTCCTGGCTCCATTCAAGCTCTTCCTCAGAGAGCTTCACGGAGCTGCTGCTGCTCGGGGGCCCAATACCGGCAGTGGACAGGCTGCTGGGCACCGAGGTGTAGGCCGACTGCGGCCCCGCATAAGGCCGGCCCTCGGGGGGCAGGGCCTGGCTGTCCAGGAGGTCAGGCACTGACAGGCTGAGACGGCGGTCCAGGTGCGGCGCCGAGCCGAGGTCCAGGGCCTTGTGGGGGCTCTTTTTCACCCTCTTCTTGCTGAAATTGATGAGCAGCGGCCTGGTTCGCTGTTTGAGGGAGCCCCAGACAGACGGCTTGTCCAGGTCCATGGCGGCATGAAGGCCCAAGGGTTTGGGCAGTACCTGGGGAACAAGAGAGGACCCTGATCACTCTGGGGTGTCCAGCCACTGTGACCCCAACCACCCACATTTCCCACTGAGAGGTGAATACAAAAATGGGGTAAACGGACACCCAGGATGGGAAGAGGCATCTTGGGCGCTGAGTATTTGAAAATTCATGTATTCGTTCGGGGATGACAACCGACTGTACTCAGGGATTCCTCTTGGATCTACGCTCAGGGATCACTCTAAGCGGAGCTCGGGGGACCATATGGGGTGCCAGGGATCGAACACCGATCAGCTGAGTGTAACCAGTGCCTGCACACTGTCCGGTGACTCTATGCATCTTCAGACCACAACAAGGTCTTTGCAGGAAATGACCCACACCACAGAGACAAATGGAAGATTCCCTGATGGTTCTCAGCCCGCCAGCTGCCAGCAATCATCAACCAAGTGGAAAAAAAAAAGAAACCGTTTTTTAGCACCAGCCCTAACACTTCTGACCGAACTGAATGAGAAGAGGAAGGAAGGGTGGGGAGGGTTGAGGGGGGATGCGGTGTTGTGCTTCAAAAGCAAGGGGTGCTTGGGGGCAGGGAAGGGGCTGCCTCGTGAGTAAATGTGCTAGAGAAAGATTTTCTTTTTCAGTTTTTAGTTGCATCGCCATGAGAGACACGGTGACAAAGTTGTTCCTGACTGGGTTTCAGTCGTACAATGTTCCAATACCCATCCCCTCACCAGTGCACACTGCCCACCACCAAGTCCCCAGTTTCCCTCCTCCCACTACCCCCCCCCGCCCCCCGTAGATGAGTGCATAAAGAAACTATGATCCATCTGCACAGTGGAATACTATGCAGCTGTTAGGAAACGCTGAGCTCCTGAAATGTGTTTATACATAGATGGACACAGAGAGCACCATGCTGAGTGAAAAGAGTCAGAGGGAGAGGGACAGAGAATGATCACATTCATTTGTGGGATTTTTTAATTGCTTTTTTTCTGTCAGATTAACTCCGAGAGAGAGAGAGAATTCCAGGCATTTTGGGACTCAGTCTGTCATCAAAGGGGCCTTTTGTTGTTGTTGTTTTCTTAAGCGACTCATCAAGATATTTTTCATCATGCCAGGGCGATTTCCTACCACAGCCTGTTCTAGAGGGAAGAAAAGCCAAAACCTACATGCAATACAATCATTGGACATCCAAAGGCATCCGGGGTGCGGAGACAGTTTATGACAAATGGAGCCATGGAGGAAGCACACAGGAAAGGCTATTTGGCGGGGGAAGTGGTCAGGTCACCACATTCTACCGGCAGACCAGTTCCTGCCACCACTGAGGTGACACTCATGTGACAAAGCCTCCAGGTGATGGGGGAGGAAAGGTAACCTAACGGGAAAACCAGAAAGAAGTGAGGAAGGAACCATGCAGCAGATAACCAGATAACCAGAAAGATAACCAGATAACCAGAAAGATAACCAGATAACCAGAAAGAAGGAAGCGGCAGGAACCATGCAGCAGATAACTTGCAAACCAGACTGAAGGTGATGAAACTGAGATCTGGGCATAAGGCATTGGCAAGAGCAGTATCCAATCAGGAATCAAATCTTTGCAAGGGGTGGGGGGAGGATTGGGTATGGGGGGAGTCACACCTGGGGATGCTCAGGGCTTACTCCTAGCAGGGCTCAAGGACCAGATCTGATGCCAGGGATCTCAGCAAGCCTGGACCCTTGTATCTTCCTGTTCCCTTGTTTTCTTGAGGCCCAGATTGGAATATCTTACAGTCGGTCCCACAGTTCCAAAACTAAATGCTGAATATCAAGTGCTGTCCGATAAATCACATAGTTTTTATTTGGGGGAATTGGGGTCCACAGCTGATGGTACTCAGGGCTTACACCTGGAGCTGTCCTCAGAGAATCACTCCTGGTAGAGCTCTGGAGATCCCGTGGGGGGCCAAGGACTGAACCTGGGTCAGCTACATACAAGGCAAGTGCCCTCCCTGCTGTCCTATTGCTCTGGCCCCTGAGCTACACAGTCTTAACAAAACACAAGTAGAAGGGAAGACAACTGGCCTCTTCACAATAACTCAAGTCTGAAAGCATAAATTGGTCCCCTCCATACAAAATCTACCATCCTGACACCCAGCAGCAACTCTCCAGTGGCTGCCATGTTCTGGTCATTCTTATTATCACAAACGATCATTTTCTCATTTGGGAATTACCTACAGAGACAGAACACTTGGTTTTTGGCTAAGACTTGGCTGCTGGATGGATAATAGCACTGTAGCACTGTCCTCCCGTTGTTCATTGATTTGCTCGAGCAGGCCCAGTAACATCTCCATTGTGAGACTTGTTGTTACTGTGTTTGGCATATGAATATGTCATGGGTAACTTGTCAGGCTTTGCCGTGCGAGTGAGATACTCTCAGTAGCTTGCCAGGCTCTCTGAGCAGGGCAGAGGAATTGAACCCGGGTCGGCCAGGTTGGGCCAGCCATGTTCAAGGCAAACGCCCTACTGCTGTGCTATCACTCCAGCCCAGATGGATAATAACGAGCAGAAAATTTTAGTTTTCTGTAAAAACTCCTAGGATGGGGCAGGGCGAGGGGGGGGAATTACTGCAGGTTACAGAAGCTATTTTTAGGGTAGTAAATGTGATTGAAAGGTGAGTCTAAAAGTCAAACATAAACTTAGAACAGAGAGAATATGCATATCTCCCTGCACTATTTCTGGTGTAAAACAGAATGCATTGAGCAAAAAAACAGCATGGGGTGCCAAATCCTGGAATCAATACAAATGTTTCAGAATACAGAGCAAAGTCTTTCAAAGACATCACTGAGCCTGTCCAAAAGGAAGGAGGAAATTTTACACCACACACACACACACACACACACACACACACACACACACACACCTGTGTCTTCAATTGGTGTCTCCCACACTTGAACTGTCCAAGGCATAAAGTAAGAAGTTGCTCCTACAATATAACTGTGCAAAGCATCACCCAGTTTCTGTATGAATCAACAGAAGCATCTTCTCTTGACCCAGAAGCAGCTTCTCTTGACCCAGAAGCAATCACAAATACTCCAGGCTGATGAGAACATCCCAGAAATCCTCACATTCTGTGGATAAGCGCATTGGTGATCTCTACAGATAGACATCCAATTTCAAAACACAAACTCGAAGATCTCAATTATCTAGGCAGAACTAGATTTTTAAAAATGAAAAATAATGGTGTTGTCAGGCCAGAGAGTACCCTAGTTCGATCTCTGGCACCCCAGATGGTCCCCCAAGTACCACCAGGAGTGATTCTTGAGCAAAAAGTCAAAACTAAGTTCTCTGACCCCCCCCCAAAAAATAAAAAAAGAATCATGTTCTCAATAAAAAGTGAATAATGAGTCATAAAATGAAATAAATAGAACAGAAATCTAATTCACATGCAATCTCATACCTCCTGAGTCTTGAATAATGTCTCAAAACTGTGTGGATAAAACATATGATCATCTAATCTTTGATAAGGGAGCAAGAAATGTGAAGTAGAGCAAGGAAAGCCTCTTTAACAAATTGTGCTGGCAAAACTGGACAGCTATATGCAAAAAAATGGGCTCAGATCTCTGTCTAACACCATGTACAAAAGTAAGATCAAAATGGATTAAAGACCTCAACATCAGACCGGAATCAAAAAGGTACACTGAAAACAAGGTTGGCAAAACCCTGTACAACATTGAAGCTAAAGGTATCTTCAAAGATTACATGCCACTGGCCAAGCAAGTAAAAACAGAGATAGACAAATGGGACTATCTTAAACTAAGAAGCTTCTGCACTTCAAAAGAAACAGTGACCAAAATACAAAGACAGTCTACAGAATGGGAAAGGATATTCACCTAATACACATCCGACAAGGGGTTGATATCCAGGATATACAAAATACTGGTTAAACTCCACAAGAAGAAAACATCCAACCCCATCAAAAAGTGGGGCAACGAAATGAACAGAGACTTTCTCAAGGAAGAAATCCGAAACGCTAAAAGGCACATGAGAAAATGCTCTACATCACTAATCATCAGGGGGATGCAGATCAAAACAACAATGGGATATCATCTCACACCACAGAGACTGGCCCACATCCAATAGAATAAAAGCAACTGGTGTTGGCGCAGATATGGCGAGAAAAGGACCCTCCTTCACTGCTGGTGGGAAGCCGACTGGTACAGTCCTTTTAGAAAACAGTATGGACAATTCTCAAAAAATTAGAAATTGAGCTCCCATTTGACCCAGTAATACCACTCCTGGGAAAATATCCCGGAGAGGCAAAAGTGTAGTCAAAATGACATCTGCACTTCTATGTTCATTACTGCACTATTCACAATAGCCAAAATGCGGAATAAACCCAATTGCCCGAGAACAGATGACTGGTTAAAGAAACCTTGGTACATCTACACAATGGAGTACTATGTAGCTGTTAGAAAAGATGAAGTCATGAAATTTACATACAAGTGGTACTACAAGGAAAGTATCGTGCTAAGTGAAATGAGTCAGAAAGAGAGGGACAGACATAGAAAGATTGCATTTATCTGGGGAATATAAAGTAACAAAAGAGGAGACTAACATCCAAGAATAGCCAAGACAAGTACCAGGAGGTTCACTTCATGGCTTGGAGGCCAGCCACAAATGCTAGGGGAAAAGGCAGCTCGGACAGAGAAGGAAGCACCAAGTAAAGAGTGTTGGGAGGATCCTCCCAGGATGGGAGATGAATGTGGAAAGTAGACTACAGACCGAACATGACTGCCACTCAATGCCTCTTTTGCAAACCACAGCACCCAAAAGGAGAGAGAGAACAAAAGGGAATTCCCTACCACAGAGGCGGGGTGGGATGGCAGGGATGGGAGGTGGGAAGGATACTGGGATCATTGGTGGTGAAGAATGGGCACTGGTGGAGGGATGGATACTCGATCATTGTATAACTGAAACTCAAGCACAAAAATTTTTTTTCTTGTTTTTTTCCTTT